TGCATATTCATTAACTTTAAACATTATGTATGAATATTCAGATAAAGAAATAGATCATAAATGTATAATTCGAAGAAAAATATACAAAAATTACTAAACATATATTCTATATGTTTTGTTTATCCAAACTTGTTTTAGAAGAAGTGTACAACAGTATATATAGACATTTAAATGTAGCACACAGTTCCTTTAAATATTGGAACTCTTTAACTCCAGGGAAAAAAGACAGTAAAGTTCAAACTACGTTGCGTATGCACGATAATTCTTATTTTTCTTTTTATTTCTTAAGGATGGATGACTGTATATTAGAGGCAGTTGAGGAGACATAAGAAGTAGAATCGTGCAACATTGTAATATGTGCTTATACAACACTAGAAGAAAACAAGATCTCAAAAGGCATAATTGCACCAGGTATATGATGTAAAATCGCCATCTAGTGCTGTTTGTTCTGGAAAAGTGCTCTATATAAATATACATTCGATCAATTTGGGAAAATATACACGTCGCAACAAGGTTTAACGCTGCATGAACTTGATCCGTTGATTAGGTCATCAAATTGTATACTTTGAATTGATTTTTTTTGTTTGAGACATATGATTTGGAATAAAAATTTGTCTTGGTGTTTCATTTTATTTTTTTAATAATTTTGTCTTTTATTTCTTTTCTTGCTCATCGTTGTGCAGTCATTTACAGAATTGATACCCCATTTCAATGGCAGTCATGTTTTTTCCCGCTTTCACTGAAAGTGGGGGATATTAATTTGGGTTTGTCTGTCCGTCCGCCTTTCTGTCTGCTTGTAACACTTTCGTTTCCGCGCGATATCTTGAGAAGCCTTTGAGCTTTTGCAATGAAATTTCTCCATGTGGCCTAAGGAAAGCCCCTATTGATTTTGTTATGTAAAATTTCATTGCAAAAGCTCAAAAGCTTCTCGAGATATCACGCGGAAAAGAAGCCTTACAGACAGACAGAAAGACGGACGGACAGGCAGACCCAAATTGATATCCCCCACTTTGAGTGAAAGCGGGGAACAAAAACAGGTATTGGAAAACACTTGTACCTCAATACATGATAGAAATTTATTTGCCGATGAAGTCATTGAACTTTATAATTGTAAGATAAACCCTGTACTAAGTTCATTAGTTATAAATTTATTATAGACGTTATAAAGTGTTCAAATTATGACAAAACTATTTTTAATTTATAACGTTCAACGCATTATATGTAAGTATAATATTGAAGCAAATATTGCATATACGCAAGGGATTTCGAATGGTAACTTTTGTTAAAGGTAACGCTTGTTAACAAAATATCAGATTGTTGCCTATTTTTTCCTACATTTTGGATTTATTCAGTTTGAAAATCAGTTACACACAGAGTCATACAGCTATCCAGACTGACATATAGGAAGGTTCAGTTAAAATATTGTTTGCACATAGGAAAAAAAGGTAACGCTTGTTAATTAGAAATAGTTTGGCAGTAGAAAGCATCAGATTGATAACCGCCTTTTGGCCATACAGTAAAAGAATGTATAATACCTATAATATAGTAATGTTAAATTGAAAACTATAATTTATGAATTATCGTTTCTACCTAAATTCTTATCGGAGGATAAGTTCTTGTAAACGCTTATTTGTTAATGCTTTCTTAGCGACAAGATCTTATCAATCTTTTATAAGAAAGAAACTTAAAAATGATATTTACTTTTGCCTTTGTAAATGGGGGGGGGGGGTATGTTAATGATTTTTGTATTCAATTTTCTTTTACGAGCTTCTATATCGAAAAAATGGTCTAATCGCAAAACATGTCTAATTTTATCCCATTTCCACAATAGGAAAAGTCTTAACACATTTCAATTTGGAGTCATGTAAATGAGAATGATTTTAACACTGCATGAAAGTTTGGCTTTACAAAACAAGTAAAGATAATGTAAATTTAATATTTACAATGCCTATAATTGGCTTTTCTGAAAAAAGTCAAAGTTCAAAAAGGTAACCTTTACATTAACTTTACATGCACTTAAATATGATGTAATGTCCCACTTTTTCTTGACTTTACAAAAAAGTAAAGTTTATATTTACAAACATTAAACACAGTATTTGGGGTACATTAAATCTGATAATTACAAATATTAAATTTAATTAAATACCGTCTTTATTAGCCACAAAAGTTAATAATTACTGTTTTTCATTCTTCTGAATAAAGCTTATGCATATGATAAATAAGCTTTTCCTTCCTTAATATACTAAGTAGCAACAGATTGAATTAAACTTTGTTTATTACTATACCAAACATTTTTATACAAACATATAATCAAAAACATCAAATTTCTTGACAGTATCTGTTGTTCATAGTCTATCCTGCAAATCCCATACACATAAATAAGTATCCAGGACAGAGTACATTTCACCAAAATCCTTTTCAAACATGTCATTTTGTTTTATAAAGAACCAATTGTTCATCCTTGAATTTAAAGATTTGAATGTGCATGAACTGTGCTCCGCTTTCTTGTTACTGGTCACTTGTTTCTGTGGAAATCAACAACTGTCCAAATATATATTTTGTCACATCTTCCTTTTCAGAGTCCAAAATTTTTATTCTCATGCAGGCAGTCTTCTATTGTTTTCTTTAAAAGAAAAAAAAAATTCAGTGACATGAATATGAATATTTTCATAGGCATCTGTGTTACAAATTCAAATAAACTGTGATATCAGTATTCACAGTATCATGACTAGTTAAAATTGAAACAAGATGCAACCATATTAATAGATAAAAAGAGCTTGACCCACAAACCATGAAAAGTGGCCTAGTTTCATTTTTCTGTAATTTTACCATAAAATATTCTCAACAATTTGTGCTTTCTAGAAATGGTTTTCTTTTTTTAATATCTTTCATAGTTTTCTTGTACGACGTCGTTAATTTTCATGCATTTGAACTCTAAAAATTGACATTTTTAAAAACTTTATGTGTTTTATAACACATGTGCTTTTATGTGCATTATTGTTGTGGACGGGGTAATCAATCTTAATAAGAGCATTTATTATTTTTATTTTAGCTTATTCATTGCTTTATCTATGGAATGCGTAAATCACTAATTTAAATTTGAAGTTCAAAATGTTGCAACCAGGATCGAAACCGGCTAGAATCTTAGTACGTTACGGTGTATCAGCTTAACTTGTAGGAAGATCGAGCTGGAGCATTGGGGTTATGCCACTGTTTAAGATTCTTAAATTAGTTAATAATGTAAAGATATTCAGGGGTCATTTTACAAAATACAAAATTCAGTAACATTAATACTTCTGAACATTGGACTGGTATTACCGTTGAATATTGATACTTGGCAACGAAATAAATCGACACCGATGATACAGATTAACATGACACCGCATCTTCATGATCTACTAGGAGCTACACTTGAGGTGACTTGTTGAACAAGCAATGAAGCATGACATGTAAAATATTTGCAGCAATTATCATTATCAGTACCAGAAGTGTAAGTATTTTGTTTATTTAAATTGTAATATATATCTTTTTCATATATCCTAAATTTCTCTCATTGCACAGTTGTGCGATCATATAGGGCCTACCCACGGGGGCTTGCTCCCGGCGTGTAATAGCCTAATTATTTATTAAAAAAATCATATACGGTACGTTGTTTTAGTATTACCGTTTATGATTTTTTAAATAAATTATTATTACTCGCCGGGAGCAAGCCCCTGTGGCCTACCTATAAGTGATTTGTCATATCATCTGATGACTGCACAGGTGTGCCATGTTTGTAGAGAAAAAAAAAAGAAAACAAATGCAGGGTTCGTACTCAGTTTATTACCAGTTGACTTTGATATGTTGTACGTAAATACAAAATCAGTTTTATCCGTACTTCCCTTGCTTAAAATGATCAAATTCAAGCTCTTGGCAATTTAATGTTTTGTTTACTAAATTAATAGTTATTCACTCAATGACAAATTATGTAGATTTCCTATAAGGCAAATAATTCATCTTATATATACTTTAACCTACCAAAAATCCAACATATTGCTTGTTTCCCAACCAGAACCTTCTCATGATTCAAGTGTTTGCAAATAAAAAAAAATATAAATATATACTAGTTTGATCTATAAATAAATTATTGGTTATTAGGTTTTACAGTGGCCTCCATGAAATCAAAACTATATCTGTTAACCATATACTTATAATAATTCACATCTAAATATTTTTGAATCAATAAATAAATACATAACTGATATAAAGGATTTTTTACAGTAAAAAGATTACTGTGCAAATCATAATAATAAAGTATTAAACTCTGTATCTTGAAATAAAAAATCCCATGTGTTTGCTTTTAGAAACACAAGAAAAACAACTTACAAATTATTTAGTTCCAGATAAAATCAGAACATATTTTTGCAGAATTTAAAATTTATTTTCTGTTTGATATGAAGAATTCTGTTTTTGGACCTGCATAACCATGCAGTGCAGTCAATAATGAATATTGTTATACCTTTAGAAATTGTTTCTTATATAAATCTATGCTTAAAAAGTCTGACATTTCCAGTGTTAAAATGAGCGGTCCATTGAAAATCGATGTTTGACCGATGAGTGAGATATTGGACCTGTCGATGAGCACGATGAGATAATGTGGCTAGGCATGTTGCCCCTCGAACCTAGTCAATAAATGTATACTAGTAAACAAACAGAACTGTATAATTATTTTCTTTATAAAAACTATATTTTATTTAAAATTGTAATGGACTGACTATCAAATGCCTACAACAATAGTATTATTTCAACCATTGGTATTGATACTCAGATTTACATGTAGATCATGTAAGGATGTAAATACAGTTTTTTGAAGCTATAAGTACTAAAACTTGAAAACATGTGCATCCTATCTAGAATCAAATCAATAATCCACCTATTTTACAAACCACATTGTTTTATTCTAAGCTATAGTAAAATATGTATAATGTACTGCAAGCATATTGTTATTTCAACATGTCAATACCTGTTATGCTCTTTTTCCCACTCTCTCAAAAAACAAGAATGTACATAAAATCCTTTTAAGAAAAATAAGTGATCCCTTTAATAAAGTTTCTGCAATTAAATTCAGGCTCTTTTCTTACTAGAGCATTATAAAGTGAAAGAACAGGGGGTACATATACAAACAACAAAGGACATACTTGGTACACTTTTACTCTTCTGGTCCATTTTCATCACTGTCGCTAGAACTATCGGAGACATCAACCAATGTGGCATCCTCGACAAACTCCCCCCAGTCTCGCACACCCAGTCTCTCATCCTTGTGATGGCGAGGATATCCTAAGTACCACAGGATTGCAGCAACATGTGAGCACATGCCTACGACACGAGCACCAGCCCTGCACTTACAGTACCAAGCCTTGATGTCACAGGCATCATACTGGACCCACAATAAGTAGCACCTAGCTGACACATGTCTACTTTGTATTTTGACGCGTAGAAGGCCTGGCTCCTCTCTGTGTACTTGGATACTACAGTCGCCTTCAATGTGCTCCTTAGCATAAGATGGAGACAGACGAAGTTGGTATATTCCACATGTGAGGGATCTGAGTTGATCCTCATCCTCGTGGGGGAAGTCTGGCAGGTCATTTATTTCCGTCCAGCAAACGGAGCGTCGGTCAAGATGGTTGTCCTCAACATGGTGTTGTAAGGTATTGACCTGCTTTGATAGAAAAACCATTTTTGCACCAAGTGCCTGGTTCTCCTCAGTGTTACCATAAGCAAGAGGCTTCAGGTATCTGAAAGTAACCAAATACATTCAATACACTGTGAATACATTAAGAAACTATAATTAAATTGGCAACATTGCTTAAATCTATTTTTTAAAATTGAAAACTGAAAAAAAAGTGCAAAATTTTAAAATCCATATTAATTTCATGAATTAAGAAGTATAAGAGGCCTGCTGTTTAGGCCATATGGTGGGATTTATTTTTGTACTTATCCGATATCAACTTCCTGTTTTTCCGTGCACCTGTCCATATTAAATTCACATCAGAGTGGGGATATTATTAGTGAGCATTGGCTCACAGACTTCTTGTTATATACTGTGAATTGCTATACGTGTGCATATGATATAAGTTACTACTTACTTATTGCAAATGGCACATACAATCCTGACAAAGTCTCCTATATAGGGTATTTGGCTAGAGGGTAGAATGTGCCCTAGATAATGCCACTGCTTGATCCTGGCATTGGCTGACTCGACAACCCACCGTATCTGTGGAATGATATACAGTAGCCTTAGATATCATATTTATTTCCTAGTAACTTAAGAATAAAAAAAGAGATTCTATTGAGATTAGCACAAATTAAGTACATGGAATGCATTAAATATATATACAAATTGAAAAAGATGATAAATCAGGCAATACATGCACCTTTGTCACCAATCGACTGGTGGCATTCTCTGTTGACATTTGTTTATCTCCTTTGGCTAGGAATAATGGCATTTTGGCCTTGATCCCCATCTGTTCTAGGTACTCCAGAGAATCCCTAATCCCACGATCGACCACAAATATATCCTCCTCCTGTACCCAACTTTGAATACCTTCAATGTTACAGCACATAATGTGAGTTAATATCATGGCGTCATTATTCTTAGCGATGTACGGGCCTGACACTGAAACAAAGTAACCTGTTGTGGATACAATAATCATTGGTTTCACGAGCGGCCTTCCCTTGTGGAGACTAAAAGATTGTCTCTGGAACCTGAAATTTCCACTTTTGTTAATATAGATATAAGTTCCATCAAGGACAAGTATTGCCTGTTGCGACACAGCATCACCAAGAATACTTTGGGCCAGAAGTCGAGTGTGTTCTTGAATAATCTGCTCTCTGGAAATCCAAGAATTTCTGTGACGAATCCTCCATTCAACAGTGCTGTCCGTACTGACTTTACTGCTTTGTGTACGCTAGATTTAGAAATGTTGAACAATGTCGACAGAATGCGGTTAGATTCCCCTCCTTTCAATTTCATCAAGAAAATGGCCAAGCTGGTCCTGACTGTTCTGACTGGAGTCAACTTAATTTTGCCCTCAATATACGCCAGTAAGTCCTAAAAAGCAGTTTTTGATATTCCCAGCAGACTTTGATACTCATTTGATCCAAGACTGCCACTACTGTCAAAATCAAGTCTAGTTTTCTCTTTTTTTAGAACTTCAGTCCGCAAAAACTTAATAAGATGGGTAATTCCTGTTTTGTTGAATAAGGTGGTATCTGTTACAGGATTAGGTTCTTCTATCTTTTGTTGTAGATGGATTGGACAGCAGCGAGCTCCAGAAGGGATGATGGTCTCCTTTGAAATAAAGATTTGATGTCTTACTTCTACTGGGACTACAACTAACTTTGGACCTGGGCACTTGCTGATTCCGCATGAAGCGTAACCTCTTGAAGTGCTGGGAAAAGGAAGTAAGATGGATGGGGGGCTGAATGGATTCCGATGTGGATTCTGGTGTTGGCCTGCTTTGAATCTGTGCCCTGACTGACTTAGATTTTTTCTTCTGTTTTGCATGATAATGGCACATACATCGACATTTGCTGCACAGAAAATCACTGTCAGATGGTGTCCTCCCTGTTAGTTTGGCGATGATGGATCTATTTTTGGACGATATACTATGCCTGACTGTCTGTCTTACTCTTTGTGGGCAGTTGAAACAGCCATAGTTTTTCGGACCTGAACCAGGCATATCTGAAATATTGATTTGATTATTTAATTTGAGTTTGAGTGTATGAATAGTATATATCAAACAAATTATATGATATGTGATAATAAAGAATGCTCTTTTATGACCTAAGTATCCATCTCTAAAACATGGTAAAGTTGTGGGAAAAAATCCCTATACATTTAATTTGTAGATACATTTACAAAGCTATGGTTACGGAATGAATTTTATGTGGTCCTGATGATAAGAAAATAAGATATAAATCAAGTATCAGAATTATTTGATTTCTTATTTTCTTTTTTAATTTGGTCAATTAGATTTAATAATTTATATAAAACATGTAATTAATCAATTTCTCTCTCTCACAAAAAAAAAAACAAACAAACAAACAAACAAACAAACATGTACATTTAATTTAATGGTTTAAAAGGAATTTCTCATATATATTTTTTGTGTATGTGTGTTTTTAAAAATACTACATGTGTATTTAGGTTCTAGCCAAGCTAATATACAATTATGGACTCTTTCGGTGGTGCATATGGTATGTTATTCACCAGAAAAATCTCAATATTGACAGAGGCTTCGCCTATTATATAGTCAGGATTTAAATGAATAAGACATTGAAGGCTGCATGACGACTCCATTTTCATTAACGAACTTCGGTCATAGAAAAATAAAAAAAAAAATGTCCAGATTATAACTTTTAACTTCCGTGTTTTCCTTTTGCGGTGTGTAAGACATCGAAATGTTTGGAAAATAAAGCTTTACATGTACTGTAGCTTGAACGTAACAGAAACGCATATAGAATTTTCCAATTCCTTTTAATTAATTTCCTTAATATTTTTTAAAAAATTGATTCATAAATTTGAAAAAAATAAAACACTCACCTTTCTGTAGTATATCTCTAGTAATATCAACTGCTTCGAAGGGTTTATATGTTTCGGAGTATTACATGATTATTTTCTTGGAATCCAGCTTCCAGACGATACTGTTGAAGTTGCCGCGCATATTCTAATTATTTTTTTTCGACCTGGTCACATTGTTTACGGTTAAATATTTTTTATCAGAAAGATTGATTTGATGATGTATTTTAATATTTTGAAAAAGATTAAACCGTAACGAATGTGCTCTATGTGAATTTTAAGATCGAAGTGGGCAATACAGCGAAATTTTTCCGGAAAACCCGTAACTGCATAGGGTTTGGGCAATTAGTGTGCAGTAATAAATATCCGGTGGGAGGGGACTATTGCATAAATTAATTTGGTAAATGTTATAAATTAGAAATATTCCAACAAACGTATTCTAAAGCTTTGTTTTAATTTTTCAAATTTGCGAAACCAAAAGTGGCACATTGTGGATCGAGCTCTTTCATACATGACCCTTAACCTCAAAAAGAAAATATTTTGAACCATAAATGTCAGCCTTTATTTTCACCAAAAAGACGATGTTAATCTTATTAAACAAGACAGATACAAACAGATGAACCTGTTATTAACTTATTTTATGATATAAATGGACTGGGCCACTAGCCCTTATCTTACCCCTAAGATTCAAATTTAATAACTCTGTAATTTCTTTGTTTATCATTACCTAATTTTTCTTTTGAAAGGATTATTTACAAAATATACTAATGTAGGAGTAATATAAGATTTCTCGTGACCTGTAGCTAAGATACTTTTGCAGAATTGGAAAATGTTTAACTTGCAAGATAATTTGTGAAAAAGCACTGGCATCAGTTTCGCGATAAGTTTTTCATTCGTCATTTTAGTAAATTTTTCCACTGATAAAACAAAAAGAAACTATTGATATTTGTCACTTAAGGTTTAATTTTAGTTCTATCGAATTGTATTCACTCTACGTATTTCTCATCATTCGGTAAACTGTCATTTTGGCGCGTATCTAAGCTAGGTACGGAACACAGTTGTCACCATAGTTCATTAACTTTCGCTGAGTGATATCTTTTTGTGTTTTCAGTTTCAAATCAAGTTAGGTTCAGTTTATTTGATTACACCCCCCTTTATACAACAAATATAAGTTTTTGAGGGTACATTTATTTTATGTCACTGTCAAAGCCCAAATTAGATAATTTTTCAAGGAGAAAAGCATCTCATAGACAAGGTAGTCTTTATTACACGCCCATTCTTTTATCAGATAGCAAGGGCTTTGCACTCAAAAGAAAGATAGAACTAAAGTTTGTTGAATTGTGGTGTGAACCAGGCTGGCGTAGAGCGCCTGCAGTAGATTTTCTTGAAAATCATTTGAAGACTAATAGCAGTAAAAGGTATTTAATCTATATTTGGTTAGGTACTTGCGACAAATCTGTTAAAGAAGGCAAGTTCTCAAGAGTTAGGTCTTGGGACAATACTTTTGTTGATCACATATTGTCTCAGTTTCATCGAGTTGTTGCACTAGGTAAACAGTATCCAAACATAAAAGTCAAATTTATTGAGGTGCCCTGCTTTTCTATTTTTGCTTACAACAAGTTCAAAGGTCATATTGACCCAGATTCATTCACGGTGCATGATATAGAAATTTGCAGGCAGGTGGAACAGCTAAATTGTGCCATCAGAGAAATTAATTCTTGCAATAACGAAAGAACTCTACTGTGTAATTGCGACCTAAAGAGACGTCGTAAGGATACAAATAAGAAGAAAGGCGGTTCACCAAGAGTACGAGTATCCTATAAATTTGCTGCGTACTATGATGGCATTCATGCAGACACAGATTTAGCACTTATCTGGACAAAACGTTTAACAGATGACATAAATTTGCACTGTTTCAGAACTGTAGATGAAGATATTTTAGACATTCTTGTGCCAGAAGAAGAGTTAAGCTCTCTGTGAACCTTTGTAGAACTGAATTACAAATATGTCGAACTTAAATACTGCCTCCATAGATGACCTCCTATCCCTAAAATGCATCGGCGCCAAACGAGCAGCGGCCATCATTAAACTAAGAGATGAAAAGGATTATATCACCATGAATGATATAGAAGAAAACCTGCTTAACACTGCATCCGCAATACAGATTGTTGTATGCAGAACAGATCTCTTTTGAAATCCCACCTACACTTGTGGAATCTATCAAGGAGAGACAAGATGGAGAACACAAAAGGGCATTGGACAATGTAGCAAAGGAGAGAAATTATGAAGAAGAGATGAACAGGATGACTAAAATGATGGGAGACTTGGAAAGAAAACTGTTAGAGAAAAAGTCAGAATCATTAGTCACTGGAGAAATTGTTGATAAACTAGCACCACATGGTATCTATGGTATCAAAGATGATGGCCAAAAAAGTTTAAAGCTGGAGAAAAGTACTCTAGGAATAGAAGCCAGTGGGGGAGTATCAAGTTGTGTTTCTGCTTACAGTGGCTTGGCTAAGCCTGGCCCAACTAGCAGTTTAACACAAACTAAAGCTGGGAAAATCACTTCTATAAGTGGGGCTAATAATGGCTTGAAACAATCTGGCCCGTTTAGCACTCACATTGACGGACCTCCCCCTCCTAAGATGGCTGCATTTGATGGACGCAGTGAATGGTGCCCATTCTAAACCCAGTTTGATAGGATTGCAGACAGATAAAAATGGTCTGAGGATCGACGCTTGGAGAGACTTATTGAGTCTTTAAGAGATAAAGCACTTAAATTCTATTGCACCTGTGCCAAACCAGTTCAAAATAACTACAAGGACCTATGCAAGAAATTCAAGTTCGGTCAAAAGGAATTGCCCTTAACTGTAAGGAGAAAACTTCAACACATCAAACAAGATAATAAAACAGTTGAGGAATTTGCAGAACTAGTTCAAGAAATGGTTACTGAGGGATATCCGGATGCTCCAGGAAGTGTTATAGATACCATTGCCACTGATTCCTTCCACAAAGGTGTTGAAAACAAGCGTGCAGCATTAACAGCTGTGGATTAAGACCCAACAACTTTAGAAAGTGCACTACAACTGGTCAAAGCAACAATAAATAACCAAAGGCTAATTCTCGGGGCCCGTAAACCAGAAGTCAGGAAAGTTCGGTTTAACGATGCATACAGCGACAGTGACGAGGAGCATGACTTTAGCTCTCATACAGTTCGTCCCCAAAGTCGTGTTGACAAGCTTGCTGCAGACGTTGATTCCTTGAAACTAGGTCTGGAAGCAGCCAATACCAAAATTGACAAACCTATTGGGCTCATCTCAAACCGTTGGAGATCCCCTCAGAGGACAACATCCCAATCCAGATTATCCTCTCCAGTAAACGATGGTGCCTGTTATAATTGTGGGGAATAAGGTCATTTTGCAAAGGGCTGCAAACAACAGCGTAAATCAAAATCACCATCACCACAAGCTAAAGTAAGCCCTACATTTGATATGAGACTCTATCAATGCAAAATTGAACCACAAAATTTGATTATCAATGTGAAAGTTAATGGAAAACCAGAAAAAGCCATTTTCGATACAACAGCACAAATATCGGTCATAAACAGAAAGTTCGCAAACTCTTTGACTCCGCCATTAAACATTGGTAAGGAGGTGACTCTTAAGGGTGTAGGAGAAAACAGTTGGTTGAAAGATAACTACTCAAATGATGCCAACATTGAAATTGAAGGTGTTAAATTTAAATGACCTGTTATAGTTGCAGACATAACTGATCAAGTGATTATTGGTCTCGACTTCCTTAGTGCCAACAATGCTCTTATTGACCTCAATGACCAAAGTATCAGCATTCAAGGAATACCAAAAAAACCATGTTCTTGGAACAGCAACTTCATTTGATGGAGTGATTGAGGACCCTGCAAAAAACCAGGATGATGGACACAGTTGTAAAACCCCCAAACACCTACCTAACTATCTGTTAGACTTGGAAAAGAGATCAGTTGAAAATATCTCCAAGAACCAAGCCTATAGGGTACACGATTACTCATTGAATTTCAGGATGCAGCAGATGATATGGACATAGGCCTTTTCAAAGGAATCACACATAAAGTAAACACAGGGGATGCACAAGCAGTCCGTGCAAAACTAAGACGTACTCCGCTAAGCTTTGAGAAGGAGGAAGAAGCCCACTTGAAAAATCTATTAGATAATGAAGTCATTGTCCCGTCAAAGTCGGAATGGGCCTCTGCACCAGTACTCGTTCGCAGAAAAGATGGAACTGTGAGCTACTGTATTGACTTTCGAAAAGTGAATAGTCTTACCAAAAAAGATGCATTTCCCCTCCCAAATATTGAAGAATGCATGGACACCTTAAGTGGAAATATCTTTTTAAGCACACTAGATATGGCTCAAGGCTACTACCAAATAGAGGTGGACCCACATGACCGTCATAAACTGGCCTTCATAACAAAATATGGATTGTCTGAGTTTGTTAGAATGCCATTTGGCACTTGTAACAGCCCAGCCACATTCCAACAAATGATCCAGCTTGTCTTACGTGGACTAAATTGGAAGGAATGCTTGGTATATCTGGATGACGTCATTGTCCTTGGAAATTCATTTGACAACCACCTTCTCAACCTTAGAGCTGTCCTAACCAGGTTTAACCAGGTTTAGAAAATATAACTTGAAATTAAAACCTAGGAAATGCTGCATGTTCAGAAGAGAGATACAGTTTTTGGGCAGAGTTGTCAGTGAGAAAGGAGTATACAGTGTGTAGCCCAGTGGCCCGCACCGAGAAACAGAAAAGATGTAGAGACTTTCTTGGGATACATGAATTATCACAGAGAACACATTAATAATTATGTAGCCCTGGCCTCCCCACTGTATGATCTTACAAAATCAAAAAGTGCATTTGTTTGGGATGAAGCGCAAGACAATAGTTATCATTCCCTAAGAAAAACAATGTCCGAGCCAGCAATATTAGCATTCCCACAGTCAGATGGTTTATTTATACTTGACACGGACGTATCTGATCATTCATTAGGTGCAGAATTGTCACAAGTACAGAATGGTGAAGAAGTACTCATAAGCTATGCAAGTAAAACATTATCAGCTACCCAAAGACGTTATTGTGTAACAAGAAAGGAACTCCTTGCCATTGTCGTCTTCACACAACATTTCAGATTCTACCTCCTAGGACAACCTTTTATTCCTCGCACAGATCACCACAGCCTTGCATGTCTCCTGGGTTCTAAGAATATAGAGGGGCCAGTGATTTTTTTTGGGTCAAAATGCCACCGATATTCGGCTGTTCCCCCTCACAAAAATTAGCTTTTTTTTCCCCCAATTTTAGTATGTTTTTCCCAATTTCAAACATACGGAAATTATCTTTTAATTTTGAACAAAAGTCGCTAAATTTTCTGACAGAGTAAAGATTACTTTTTATTCTTCAATTTTATTCTCTAAATCCATGCACATGCGGCCGATTTTTTAATGAATGTGTAAAACAATGCAGATATCCATATAAACAGATAAGTAGCTTATAATATCCTAAATGAATTGGTAAATAGTTCCAAGATACAAGTCATGTTGCCTGTTGACATCATGATTTTGGTTTGACCGCCATTATAACATAGAGGGTCAGGCTAATATCAGGAAATGGACAACACATAGGGTTTCACTAAAATTTGGAAAAATCAAACAGTACAGACTGTAAACTTGATTATCAATACAAGACAGTTTACTAGGTAGATTAAGAGTCTAAATGCTGGTCATTTTTTTTTAAATGAAATTAGACAAAGCAATTCCAAGAAAATACTGTAGAAGCTACAAGGTGTGACTAATATAAGCCATGTTCACATTCAATAAAATATAAGCCATGTTCACATTCAATAAAATATTGATGTAATTTTTTTTAAATGGTTATTTTCTGAATTTAAATGAAATTTAAAGTTAAAATCAAACAAAAACTGTTGTTGTTACTTAGTTTGATTATTTTATGTATTTTTTAGCACTGTAATTTCCAATAAATGACTTTTCCCAATTTGAGGAAAATGTCGCTAATTTTTCCCAATTCAAAAGGAGGGGGTGGTGGTTTAAAAAACAAAAAAAATCACTGGGGGCAACTTGCGAGATGGCTGGAAGAACTGTCCCAGTACAATATGACAATTTAACACCGCAGTGGAAAGGCACACAGCAATGCCGATGGACTCTCGAGGATACCAACAACAGATCTCTCATATAATTGCTATGATGCTGGAAAGGATATTAGTGAGCTGCCTTGTGGTGGATGTAAATACTGTCAGAGGGTCCATGAACAGTGGAGTAGGTTTGAAGAGGACATTGATGATGTTGTTCCACTTGCTGTCCGTAAGGCACAAACAAAATGGTGCTTGAAAGAATCCTAACTAGATAAGGTCACTGATGGATGTAACTGGTCGAACACATTTAGTCACAAGGAATCAAGGGAAGCACAAAAAAGGATCAGGATCTGGAACATCTTCTCCGTTGGAAAACAGAATGTGGTCCTAGTGAAGTAGAGCTTTCTCTTTCTAGTCCAGCTGTAAAACACTGGTGGAACCCAAAAGAACAACTTACAACTGTTGACGGAGTTCTTTACTACATCTGGGTTGATGAGGAAACATATAAGACGCCCCTGCTGTTTGTTCCAAAAGCGCTAAGAGAAACGGTGCTTGCAGGCTGCCATGATTCCAAATGCGCAAGTCATCATGGACAGCAAAGACGTTGCAGAGACTTCGCTCAAAATATACTTGGTATGGTATATCCCAAGACTGCAAAAATAGTGTCCAATCTTGCAGGGAATGCAGTACAAGTAAAAAGCCTCATATTCAACCAAAAGCTCCACTTGGCCAGTACCATGCAGGCATCCCTATGGAAAGAATACATATAGATATTCTAGGGCCTTTCATAGAATCAGCTAGAGGGAATCGCTACATTGTAATGATGATAAACAGTTTACAAAGTGGTTAGAATGCTATGCCATTCCTAACCAAGGAGCAGAACAAGTAGCTCTGTCACTAGTTGAAGGATTCATTGCACGAATGGGATGCCTTCTTCAGATCCACTCGGAAGGAACTTCATGAGCGACTTATTCCAACGACTCTGTAAAATGCTACAGATCACAAAAACACGCACAACTCCATACTGACCATGTGCAAATGGCCAAATAGAGCGGTACATTAGAACTATTTTGCAGTCAATCCGTTGCTATCTTAAGAATGTGCGTTCCCAGCGACATTGGGGTCGACATTTGCAGCTCATTTGCTGGAGCTATAAAGGCCACAGTAAACAGACAAACTGGATTTACCGCCAACAAATTGATGCTAGGGAAAGAGATTCTACAACCTGTAGACATTATGTTGGGTATGGGTGAAAACCAACAGCCTCGAGTACCGTCCGACTATGTTGAAGAGCTAAAAGAAGTGATGTCACAGGTCCACACAATTGCCAGAGAAAATCTACATAATGCGCAAATGCGTCAAAAACGGACCTATGATTTGCGGCTTCACAACCACGCATATGATGTTAGAGACTTAGTGTACATGATAGATTCGTCAACAAAAATAGGACAATCCAAAAAGCTACAAAAACCTAGGATTGGTCCAATTTTTTGTGACTGAGAAATTGTCCCCAGTCCTTTATCGCATGAAGAATCGACGGAAGGAGAAAGTGGTTCATCATGATAGATTAAAGAGATGCTCTGACCGTGACATCCTAGTGTGGCTGATCAGATACTTCGTTTCCGGGATGTCTGCACTAAGTAAATGTGTCATGTGACTTTCATCACCACGTGACAAAAATCTAGGCATAATTTGGACAAAATGGCGGCGGAACAGCTTCGTCTTAAATCGGTTCCCCAGCTCCGTGATTTTTTGAAAGAAAGAGGTATTCAAACATCAATTTATCGAAAACAACAACTACTAAGATTGGCACAAGCTGCAACCGCAATGGAAATTGAGCCGGAAGAATGCGCCATTGAAAATAAACGCTACCACGATCAGCAAAGGAGAACGGTGGAGGTCCGTACCGATGAAAATATTACGACTTTTATTTTACCTGACGTTAGTGGACTTTCTGATTGGAATGTTGATTTACAAACTATGCCAAAAATTGAAATGGGTGATGTAATGGTGTATTTGATGACTTACTGTGACTGGAGTGCAAACAGACTGAAGTCTTACAAGGATGATAACTCTTTCAAACTGTATCAAACCAACCACATTGACAAAGTTGCGATGGCCACTGTTGCACATGGATACATGTATGTTAAGAGTACCTGCGTGCCAGAGACAAGGCAATCAGAGAAGCCTTACGAGACATGGATACTCTTACATAAAAATGGTTCTGTGAAATCTGGTGGCTGTACTTGTGTGGCGTGAGTATATGTACATATACTTTTCATAATGTGCTTCGTGGGGTGGGGATTCTTTCAATAATTTTCGGGATGGAGATGCATCTTATTCATACAGCAGAAGTTTAGATGTTTTGAATAAAAAAATTAAATACTCTAAGGGTCTCTTTGGGTCAACACATCATATACATACATGTACTCAAAAGCAATGATAACAGAAATCATAATGCTTATGTACATGTCATGATAAAACACGACTGATCTGTTTTTTGATGTTAAATACTTAGATGAACATCCAAGTTGCCCCTGCATAGAGGTTACACAGATTTATTTAGAGTTTGTTAAATAGAACTGGAATCTAGTCTACCTGGTAGACTAGTTGCCATAATCTTGAACACACTCCTGATGTTAGTATAATATAAATTTAATCCAAGTTGAAGGGCTAAGGATTAAGTATTAATCACATAATTTTTTTAATTTTTCAATGAATAGTATTTTTTTTTTACATAGATTTTTTTTTTTTATCAAGGCTGATGTAAGCACACATATACATTATATTAGATCTGCCATGTACATTGTAAAATTTAATATATTAATTCAAAGTGAATTAAAAGCAAGCTTTTATTTCTTTTTCCAGAGATGATGGAAGTTGCAAGCACTGTGTAGCATTGTTGTTTGCATTGCATGACTTCAGTGAAAGGCACCAAGACAGAGGCACTAAAGTATGCACTGACACTCCATGCAAATGGGATCGACCGAGGCAGGCATCTAACCCTGTTACAACACAAAATATCGACTTTGGTAAGAAAGATATCCGTGATAGTTATCAGCCTTTTTCTGATAATGCTATTGATTTGCATCTAAAGCCTTACAGAGACAATTTAATGAAATCTTTGTACAAAGTCTGCAAGAAACATGGTTCAGTATTAACTTACACCATGGAGCCTCCGTATGATTAAAGTGATAGTGAAAATGATATCAAAAACAATCAAGTACTGTTACCAGATGTTATTCAGAAGTATAAATCAGAGCATGACATTGTAGAAAGACAGGAATTTATTGAATATATGTGTAACATTCATACACCAGAAATTATTAGAAATATTGAAAGTATAACAAAGGAACAGAGTGATGACCCAATGTGGCATGAATATCGAAAGGGTAGAATTACGGCATCAATAATGGGATCGGTTCTGAAATGCAATATGGAGAGACTGAATGAAAATAACTACATAGTAAAGAAAATTCAAAGTTCTGCCACTTTTTTCTCTACACAAGCCACAGATTATGGAAAATCGATGGAAGGTGTCGCTCGAAACCAGTATACGGAACAATACATCAAATCTCACCAGAAAGCAGAAATTTCGAAGGCAGGTTTGTCAATTTCTCCTGCATGTCCTATTATAGCTGCTTCCCCAGATGGATATGTGAAGTGTCTATGTTGTGGTGAAGGTCTCCTGGAGATCAAGTGCACATACACACACCAGCACAAGTATACTAAGGATATTGCTAGTGAAAACAATTATTATGTTCATCTTGTGAATGATGAAGTGAAATTAAAGGAAAACTCGCCTTGGTACTCACAAATCCAAACTCAACTTTTTGTAACTGGAAAATCATGGTGTGATTTTGTTCTTTTTACTCAAAAAGACTTTGCAACTGATAGAATTTATTTCAATGCAGAATATTTTGATATGTGCTTGAAAAAGGCTATTGATTTCTACTTCAAATTTATAATGTAATTTCAAATTTTTAATGTAATTGAGACATAAAATTTTGAAACAAGACTATATTTTCTTTATTTTTATTGAAAACATGAAATTTTTCATTCATCACAGAGAAGTCAAAACTACTATTATACTATTACAAGCTCCATTATTTCTCTGGTACATGTACATATCATGTTTATATAATGTATAACAGGAAGAAAAATATATACAATTTATTGCCAGCCTTGTATGATATATTACAAGTATAAATGGATTTCATTTTCCAACTTCAAGGCCTAGTAAATTCAGCCAATTTACTTCAAATAAAAATCTGTGAATAAATAAACAAGCCATTTTCTTAAGATTTAACTAGAGGTCAATGTAAATTACAGAAGAATGCTGCAACAGTGACCATAGGATGAACCAGTGATTTCATGTCCCATGGTATGGTTTGTGAAATAAGTTTGAATGTTTTTAAGCGTCCAATTGCTCTTTCAACGTGTATTCTGAGATTTGCTATTTTCCTTGTTTTTTTAATGTCGCTGGCACACAGATATTTCCCCTTTCCCCAGTTACATTTGCGTGTAAATGGTGGAATAGTTAAATATGCTTTTCGCTCTGTAAGGAGGTCTCTAATTGTGAACCCTCTATCCGCCATTATTTCATCACCAGCAGATAAAAGGTCTAAAAATCCACTATGCTCAGTTATGTACCTATCAGAGGAATTGCCACCCCAGATCTCAGAAATAAAATTGAATGCACCATTAGGAGTGATGCTTACAAGAAATTTAAAAGTATTATGAGATTTGTATGTGCTGTAAGTCCTAGCATTGACAGTTGGATTTTTAGGCCTTTGAATAAATATCTCAGAGCAATCAATAATAGCCCTCGTCCGAGGGTAACTCTGTCTGAAGGATTTTGGCATGAACTTTTTAACAATGTCTCGAGAAGGCCATATGATACAGTCTTTGAAATTATGATACAAGCAAAACATCCATGTTGTAAAGATGGATGAAACCCTTGAGCATGAAACCCCAAAAAGTTGTGACATGACAAAGACAGGCAGAGCTAATCTTAAGCGTACCGATGTTAAAATGAATTCATCTGATCGTGAAAGTTTCCTGATAGGCCCAGGCTTTTTCCCCTGATTTTGATAACGCTTCTCTGTCTCACTCTCACTTCCTGTCCAATACTTAATATTGATATCAAAATTGACTACAGCATCTTTAATTGTGTTGAAGATTTGCAGGCTTGGTAATCCTGTAAACTTTCTAATTGAATCGTCACTCTTAGTAACTTTTTCTAAGAAAATGTCTCTTAATAAAGTATCTTTATCATCAATTATTTTCTTCAGCTCTTCATTTTCTGATAAAATGTCATTGATACTTGTGAGGCTCATATCTGTCTGTATGCCAGTGTCAGTAAACAATGAATCACACCCCATGGACTTCATAGTACTTGTAGACGCTACACTGTAGCTGTGTTCAAGCAATTGCTGATGGCTGGGTAGATCTGAAAATATTAATGATTGAGTACATGTATTTTAACAGGAATGATGACAGCTTTTTAAATACTGGCCAATTTACATAGGTCCAGAAAGCATTCTTTTAAATCCAGTATAAATAATACACCTTCTTGATACTTGCACATTCTTGCAATGACAAAAACATGGAGAATCATAGTTTAAATCACTTGTTTGAATGATATACTAATCTACACTATGTAATTGAATGGTTTGCTGCATAATGCAATTCACTTATTTGCCTGTCTTCAAAATATAAACATTGTATTAGATGCAGAACTGTGGCTCTCTGGGAAAAGAAAATTCAGACACACCAGAAAATACCTGCTGTCACACTATTATATCTGTCCTAGAGAGCTACAGTTCTGTGGCTACAACACATACCTGTGTTTCCTTCAGAATAACTCCTTGATGTTGTGACGTTGATGCAACTGGCAACTGGAAGAACTCTAGACCCAGCACCATCATCAATAAACAAAGTGCTGTCACACTTAGTTACCTCTTCTGATAGTGTGTCTATAATAAAAAAAAAAATCATTTTTTTAAACTTTGGGCCTACCAATGGAATATTGTTGATTTTATTCACAATCTAGATTAGAGACCTTTCATGTGATAGTGACATACATGTATCCATGCATTCTGTTTTGAAGTTAAAAACAAGTAGGATATTATAGTATTCATAACATTTACATTATTGTTGATAAGGTTACAATACAATACATAATTTGTGCTTTTGTATTGTTTTGTTTAATTTCTAAATTGTATATTTTAAATGAGTATGTAAAAATATGTAATTAAAAATAGTTAAAAAAATGTATGGACTTGCTTCCGGAAATTTAGGCTTTTGAAATAGATCATTGTGGAGATTTTCAGTCTGATTTTAGACAAAAGACAATATATAGAATTCTCAATACAAACCCTCTATGAGCGTAGGTAATTCTGATATTTCCTCATTATGCTCAAAGATGGGCATGGATGACGAGGGGTTCACTGTCAGGTCAGCCTCTCGTTTTGTAATTGAAGCTGTACTGCGTCTTGGTGTAAAAACTTTATAATTGTTCCATGGAAATAATTCAGGGACATTGTGGCCGTCAATAAAATGCCTGGAGCACACTCGATGATGAGGTAATGGATCGTAGTCAAGAGGCCTCCTTATCATTTCCACCCCTTTCTGACGCAACTTTGGATTCTTTTTTTTAGTTGGAAATGGAATAAATACAATACCATCCATCCATGGGTATTTTCCTATAAACTTTCTTTTTCTACTGTCCGATGTGCATTCTGGGACAACACACCAATAATTTGTGGACGGCTTTTGTTTTCGTGTTGTTGACATTGCGTCGTAAACTCGCGCCATGAAAAGTGCCTAGATTTTTTACAAGTCACATGATCGCGTGACCCTTTTCTACCTCCTAGCAATAAGAGCGGTACATCCCAGAAACGAAGTATTGCGTCATGCAGTGACAACAAGAGGTAGCGGAGGAGGAAGATCCATGGCGATCAGAAGGTTAACATTCCAAATCAAGACTCAAGTGCCCTCAACAATTCAAGTGAAGATCCTAGAGCCACTTGTAATTCAAGTCCTGCTTCAAGAGCCAACTCAAGAGAGCGTCGGCGTGTAAGGTTGCCAAAGGCATTGGCAGATTATGACCTTTCCTAAGCAAGTACATCATATTTTAAAAGTCAGAATGTTTATATCTGTAAATATGTTACTATTAGTTCCTTTCCTTGTTTAAATGATGTTTTCAGTTAATTTGTATTTTGTGGCTTGCTAAGAATATCAACAAGGGATTTAGATAAAACGGGGAGGAGTGTTGTGGAACCGAATAGTACTGGGTACGAACTACCTAACACGGACATGAATTAGCAGTGTTGATGTCCCCTTACTTCAGTGAGCCTCCTGTCCGCGTGTGTCCCGACCACCGACCGCCTCCTGCAGTCCAGGACATTAGCATCAGCACAACACTGTTTTATTCCCCTCACGTCACAACCTTACATTAGATCGTACATAGAATGTTTCCTAAACCCTTAGATGTACATTAACATATTACCAATCATCCTACACAAACTACCTAAGTACATGTAAATAGTTATGATGAGCAAGGATGACTCTTCAAAAATTGTAAATTCCATGGCCCCTGGGTCAGGGGCTCTCGTGTTAATTCTTTGGAAATCTTCTCTGCTCCTAGGTATTAAACACATACTAATTAAGTACATACTTATGATGAGTTAGGATGCCTCTTCCAAAATTGTGAATTTCATGGCCCCATTGGTTAAGTAGTAAAAATGCATCAATTCTTTAAAAATCTTCTCTGCTTCCTGCAGTCCTACTATTGAATCAGAAAAATTGAAAAGATACACTGAGGCAAAACTTGGAGATCAAGACTTTTTTGAAATTCCTTTGATTAATGAAGAAAAAGTATTTAATATGTTAAAGAGGCTAGATGTAAACAAATCTGCTGGCATAGACTTTCTTGGTCCTAGATTGCTTAAACTTTCAGCTAGTATAATATCCAAACCTCTAACACACCTAATAAATTCTAGCATAATCAAGGGGTCTTTTCCTTCACAGCTAAAAGTCGTAAAAGTAACTCCTCTATTTAAAAAGGGTGATACATCAGACCCAGGAAACTATCGCCCAATTTCAATTTTACCAACTATATCGAACGTTTTAGAAAAGCATGTAGCAGAAAATATACGCATCTTTACTTCTCACTTCGATTTATTAATGAAAGCACAGTCAGGATTTAGAGAATTTCACTCATGCCAGACAGCTCTCACAAAACTAACTGATAATTGGCTGCATGCAATAGATCAAGGAAATTTCGTTGGCATTACTTACTTGGATTTTAGCAAAGCATTCGATCTTGTTAATCATGATATACTAATTAGAAAACTTAAATGCTATCACTTTGATCCAATATCAATTAAATGGTTTCAATCATATTTATATCATCGAACTCAAAGTGTAAAAATAGGTGCATACACATCTGAATCACTGCAAGTCACAGCAGGTGTGCCACAGGGGTCTATATTAGGCCCTTTATTATTTCTATTATACATTAATGATTTACCATTGTCTGTTGAACATTGTAATATTGATATGTTTGCTGATGACACTACATATAAATTATTTACTTTACGAAAAATTAAAAAGTTTCTTCTACTGCTTACTAGAAAACTATTTTATAACGCTTTTATTTTACCATCAATTTTATATTGTCTATCTATTTGGGGTAACTCTCCTCAAACGCACATCGACAGAATCTACAGACTTCAAAAACGTGCAGCAAGGATTATCTTAAATGAAAAATATGATGCACCTTCAATGCCTTTATTTAACATTTTAGGCTGGTTAACGGTTCATGAACTTCTATATTTACAGAAAAGCATTCTAATGTTCAAAACATTTCATGGTGTGTCTCCCGATTATATGCATAATTTTTTTGAATTTCAAAGTTCTGGATCATACACGTTACGCTCAGAAACAAATTCCGAACTTCGTTTACCAAAATATAAAACAAATTTATTTAAAAATTCTTTACAATATTCAGGGGTTATTATCTGGAATGAGTTACTTATTAGTATCAGGAAATCCCAATCCCTTGCAATATTTGAAAGTAGTGTTGAAAATTTTTTACTTACGAAACGTACTAGTTCTACGTAAAAATATGTGACTCCGCCCCCCCCCCCCTCCTTTCACATTTTGAACTAAGCTTTGACGTTTTTATTTATTAGGTCACCTGAGTCATTCAGGTGACCTATTGCTATCTGTTTTCGTCCGTCGTCGTGCGTCGTCCGTCGTGTGTTAACATTTGAACATTTTCAGCTTCTTCTCTGAAACCGCTCAACCAATTGCAGCCAATTTTTGCATATGGCATCTATGTGTGAAAGGGGAACAAAATTTGTGAATTTCATGGTCCCTGCCCCCCTGGGGCCTGAGGGGTGGGGCTAAAACCATCAAAATTAATGCAATCTTTAAAAATCTTCTTCTTTACTCCTGGACATCAAGCAGTCAAACTGTTGACATGATTGTAATAAGCATTGAGCCCTCTACCAAAATTGTGAAATTCATGGCCCCAGGGTCAGGGGTTCTGGTGCTAGGGCGGGGCTATATAGATCATATAGTGAAAGTGCATTATTTCTTTGAAAATCTTCTTCTTTACTCCTGGGTATTATTGAAACAAATTGAATACATAGTTATGATCAGCAAGGGTGACTCTACCAAAATTGTGAAATTCATGGCCCCAGGGTCAGGGGTTCTGGTGCTAGGGTTGGGCTATATAGATCGTATTGTGAAAGTGCATTATTTCTTTGAAAATCTTCTTCTCTACTCCTGGGTATTATTTAAACAAATTAGATACAGAGTTATGATCAGCAAGGGTGACTCTACCAAAATTGTGAAATGCATGGCCCCAGGGTCAGGGGTTCTGGTGCTGGGGGGGGGGGGTATATAGATCATATAGTGAAAGTGCATTATTTCTTTAAAAATCTTCTTCTCTACTCCTGGGTATTATTGAAACAAATTAAATACATAGTTATGATAAGCAAGAGTGACTCTACCAAAATTGTGAAATTCATAGCCCCAGGGTAAGGGGTTCTGGTGCGGGGGGGGGGGGGGCTATATAGATCATATAGTGAAAGTGCATTATTTCTTTGAAAATCTTCTTCTCTACTCCTGGGTATTATTTAAACAAATTAAATACATAGTTATGATAAGCAAGAGTAATTCTACCAAAATTGTGAATTTCATGGCCCCTGGGTCAGGGGTTCTGATGTTAGGGCGGGGCTCTATTTATTATATAGTGAAAATGCATTAATGCTTTAAAAATCTTCTTCTCTGCTTCTGGGTATTATTTAAACAAACTAAGTACATTATTATGATAAGCAAGGACACCTCTTCCAAAATTGTGAAATTCATGGCCCCAGGGACAGGGGTTCTTGTGCTAGGGTGGGGCTATATAGCTCCTACAGTGAAGTTGAATTATTTCTTTGAAAATCTTCTTCTCTGCCCCTGGGTACTATTTAAACAAACTAAGTACATTGTTATGATATGCAAGGATGCCTCTTCTAAAATTGTGAATTTCATGGCCCTAGGGTCAAGGGTCCTGGTCAAAAGGGGGGGGGGCTCTATTGATTATATAGTGAAAAATCAACATTTTTTTGAAAATATTCTTTTCTGCTTCTGGTTAAAAAGCAAAGAAGCTAAGTATATAGTTATGATGAGCAAGAGTGCTTCTTCCAGAGTAGTGAATTGCATGACCCCTGGGTCAGATGTGCTGGTATAAGGGTGGGGCTGTTGATAATGTAGTGAAAATGCATTAATTCTATTAAATAATCTTGTCTGCTCCTTAATGTTAAGCAGTTAAACAAAGTGATTACTTATGATGAGCAAACTTGAAACTTCCGGTCCCAGGGTGAGAGGCTCTGGTGTTTCTCAGTGGTGAAGGGGAGGAGGGGGGGAGGGGCTCTATTGATAATATAGTGAATCTGTAGTGAAAATGCATTATTTCTTTAAAAATCTTCTCTGCACTTGGGCATATCAGAGGCAAAAAGTGTAGAAGTTGTAATAAGGAAGGGTATTTTTACCAGATTTTTGAACATCTGGACCATTTGGTCAAGTGTTCTGGTCCTAGCCAGGGCTCAATTAATTTGCATTCTACTGAGAGGAGTTATTCCCCTTTGCCGTTTACTTTTGATAATTAATCATTGTAAATAATGTACTTGAAAAATTAACAGAATAAGAGAATTATGCAAGAATTTTTATTGTATAATACAAAAAGTATTTTCATAGTTTTAATGATCATGTGGACTTGTAAGCAATAGATAAATAAAAATGAGACAAAAATAACTTGTCTTATTAAATGTTCATCAAAGACCAAGAGAGGCCAATGTAAGAGATTACAGCAAGGAATTTAAATAGTACAAAAGCACTGACAGTTTGTTAATATACTGTATGGTGATAGTGATAAATGGGGAACAAAGTAGAACCTAATTTATGAACTGTTAATGAATAGTAGACTAATTATTTTGTTGATCCTGATCACCCTATTTTTCTTGCTTTTGGGCAACAAAGCTTCACCTTTCATTTCATTTTAATACTCTATGGATCCTCTAAATTGTTGTATTGTACTCAGGTGACCGTTAAGGCCCTTGGGCCTCTTGTTCTGTTGTAACATAGTGTTTATATTTTATTATCTCATAATTGTGATTTGTGTTTATTGTATATATACATTGTATATGTGTTACAAAGAAGGCCCTGAGGAAGACTAGTGCTTGCACTAATCAGGTTACCTTCTATAAATAAGTATTATTATTATTATTATTTAAACAAACTGCATGCATGGTTATCATAAATAAGGATATCTTTTTCAAAATTGTGAAATTCATGGCCCCAGGGATGGGGGTTCTGGTGAAAGGGGGAGAGGGCCATACTGATTATATAGTGAAAAAGCATAATTTATTTAATTCATTTTCTACTCCTGGTTAAAAGCAGATAAAGTGCACAGTTATGATGAACGAGGGCTGTTTCTTACAATTTCTTTTAAAACTTTGTGGTCCAAGGGTCAGGAGTTCTTGTATTTTTGGGGGACAGGGGTGCGTCTTTTGATAATATATTGAAAATCTTCAACCAAGTGCAAAGCTACAAAGATGAAGGTTCTTCTTTCAAATTTGTAATTTCATGACTCTAGGCCATGGGTTCTGTTGTTAGGGCATTGTTGAATCTGAAGTCAAATTTATTCATTTATTTATAAAATTATTTCTTTGAAAATCTTCTTTGCTTCTGGGCATATCGGAGGCAAACAGAGTAAAAGCGTTAATAAGCAAGGGTATTTTTACCAGAATTTTGAACACCTGGACCATTTAGTCAAATGTTCTGGTCCTGGCCAGGACTCTATTTTGTATTCTACTGAGATAAGTTATTCCTCTTTGCCATTCACTTTTGATAATTAATCACTGTAAATAATGTATTTAAAAGGTTAATAAAATAAGAGATTTATGTAAGTACTTTCATAGTTTGAATTATTTGGTAGACTTGTAAATAATAAATAAATAAAAATGAGACAAAGACCAAGAGAATTGTTGTATTATACTCAAGTGGCAGATAAGGCCCTTAGGCCTTTTGTTTCTAAATGGATCGAAATTTTTCTTTCTTTCTTTCTTTTTTTTAAATCATCAATTATAAACTTAAATATATTTAACTTTTAACAGCAAATGTCAAAAGGCAGACACTAAGGCAGCCTGAGCGTTTGACAAGATCCCGCGAAAAAAGAGGAAATTCGAACTAACATTTCTTTCAATCAATTTGGTTAAGATCCGAGATTTTTATAACAAATTTTAGGTTTTGTTGGTAAAATTGTTGTTTATTTAACATGTTGATTTAGTAATCTAATGTGAATACGGTTAATGTGTTGATTTACTCACCCATTGAAGAAATCCATGTCTTTTTGTTTGAGTTTAGCCTAAACGTTCACATTTGACATCATAACCCGGCATGGATTTCATTCGTTTCTTTTGGGTTCTATCCTTAAAGGGGCCTGCACACAGATTTGAAATTAATATTTTCTCACATTTTCTGTATAATATCATGACTTATATGTTGCTTTAACATTTTACACGGAAATATAATAAAAGTGTGTTCAGAAACTTCTTTAATCTGGAAATTATTGAAACTACCAATTTCGATACGCTTTGATTGACACATCCTTGCATTTACGCAAACTTTTTCCATAATACTTAAGAAAAGTAGAAATTTTATTGTGTATCAATGAAAAATATTAAAACTGTAATCCATTAAATTCAGAGTAGAAATGCGAGAAAGCCAACTCAACAGTATTGTCAGTCTGTACTCAGTGATGTGTGCAGAGTTTAACAAATTGAACTCACACGGCGAAACGTAAATATTAACAATAAAAGAGCTCATGCCCTGTTTACAAAAGTTCTCGGAAGAAACAATGCTATAGAAAATAAAAGCACTAAGTTTACTTCGAATATATATATAGAAAGAGAGAGAGAGAGATCATAGGCACTTATATAATTACTTCGATCACAGGGCATCTCTCCTTTCATTGGGCGCCATGTTTACGAAACACATGTCCCGTTGAGACAGAGACAACAGGAGCATTTAAAAACATTTTTGTATTAGTAATACCTATATATTCTTATAGAAACTGTTCAGAATTCAGAATATTAGCATAGACATGCGCGTTTGTATCATTGTCCTTGTCCGAAGCTTAAAGCTGCATTTTTGAGAATTTTATTTTGCTGTTAAAATGTGTTTTTATGATAAATCTGTATGCAACTTAAATCTTTATGATCAATTAGACTAATTTAAAATATTAAATTGTTTCAGAGGAAAAAATTCTGTACACTGTAATGTATAGTGTTATATAAGAAATCAGCATTGTACAGGACGAGAATTATAACACAACGCCTTTTGGTATGGGTGCAAAATGTATTTATTCAATCACAGTTGTGCAAACGTCATATAAATGAACAGTTATGATACAAGTTTTTTGTACAAATCACTAGTACGGTCCACTATTAGCTTTACTAGCACAGGGGAGGCAGATTGTTCTAAAGTATAGTGGTTAGTTATTTCAGCGTCTCTCTTCTCTCCGCCTGTTCAGTCTATATATACTTATTTCAATTCTTCAAGTCAATTGCATTATTAGAAAACATCTAATTTATTCAGTATATTTTATCAAGAACATTGGTCAATTATGAAATTCCGTCAATAAGGTTAATCTGATCTTATCGATTATTAATATACAAACAGATCCATTAGTTCATCATTCAATTATGAAAATTGTATGAATGCCGGAATATTGAGTTACTTCATACATACAATTAATATGTAGGAAAAGAATATATAAGAACCTATATGGTTCTCAAGGACATATAAGGATTATTATGCCTTTTACACATATGTCCTTATGAATCAAATACACGAACACAACATTTAAATATATATATATATATATATATATATATATATATATATATATATATATATATATATATATATATATATATAAAAAGTTAATATATAGTTTATTTATATATAAGGTGAGTTCCAATTGTGTTACACAAAAATGTAATTTTGCTTCAATCAAAGGTTAAAATTAGTTCTTCCATCGCAAATAAAAGAAAGTAAAAGTTTACAGTGTCTTTTTTTTTCTGTCATTGAAATAGTTAATTACAATATTGCAACAAAAATTTCCGACGTTAAAGTTGCAGCTCATATTGCTTTAACTTTCACAGATTGCTCATCACAGCAGTTTTGTTTAACCGAAGAGCAACTTTATATGTAGAAATCGTCTCATCATCAATTTATATAAAGAACTTCACCACCAGCTAATAATGGCAGCTTACAACAAAATATCATTTCCGGCTTTCAATCTTAATGTGTCGTCTCCCGAGGGAGGAGACAATACGTCCTTTATCATTAACGAGTATTTAAGTATGCATGATATCGGGATGGGAAGTACATGGTGCTTCTCGAGACGACTTACGGACACAAAGGCGAAGAATTTCCATTCGAAAGCGCTTGTTGCCTGCGAAATAAATGATGCAGTTGACACTTGAGTGTATATGCGCAACAAGTGTTATGAAAAGATGAACTTTTGTGGAAAAATTGTCTTGCACGTCTAAAACCAAAACAATAGCGTACGGCGTCCAACATACAACAAACGCAACAAAAATGCAAAACAACATCTTAGATGAACGGACTGTTTCTTCCCAAACTCTCCTCATTCTCAAGGGATTTTCATTATCCAATATGTAGATATTACGTTTTGTTTCCCAGATACGCTTGAAAATAAGAAAATAGCATACCGCCATTACAAGGAGTGATCCTCCAATCAAAATTGAAACAGACATGGTATAAGATGAACTAGCGGTCCGATCCCAGATACACTGGTGATTCTTTTGATCAAAGTAGTGTCCGCCCCAGCCAAAGAAATTTGGGGTCTCCAACAAGAAAGCGACAACCCAACAGGTAATACAAAGCAAAATGCTGGAGGCACGACTGAACACTCTGTGGTACACCTGGTTGTGGCACAGGTATATATAGCGTGACATCGACATGAGAGTGAGACTGAGGAATGCACAAAAGCAGGCGGTAAGACAGAGGCTTGCCACAAAGACACACAGCCATTTCTTCTCCTCAAAAAATCGTTCTCCTTGTGTGACACCTTAAATAAAAAATATAGCATAACGCGGAGCCATGCAAATGGAATAATTCAGTTTTAGACTAAGTCTTTAAAAAAATTTCAAGAAGACTAAAAATACCAATGATACACAGCGGGTCTGCAATCGCTGTGACACATAGATCAGCGACGGCGATGTTTACGATGAATTCCTTGCCGCATTTGTTGACTCCCCGGAGCGCGGTCGATACCAGGAGAATAAGTGTGTTACCAAAAGTTCCCACCAACAGGGCAGTGCTAATTATGATGATATACACCACTGCTAATGACGTGTCAGTTTGTAATAGAGGGGGTATCCCTTCCATCATGCAATTGTTGTCAAAATTCTTGGATATCTCGAGGGTGTCGTTGATTTTTGAAGTTCCACTCTGCAATTAGAAGAACAATCGAATTTTTTTTTGGTTTTTATGCCCCGGGATCGAAAGATCCTGGGGGTATATTGTTTTTGTCCTGTTTGTCTGTTTATCTGTTTGTCTGTTTATCTTTTTGTCTGTTTATCTGTTTGTCTGTTTATCTGTTTGTCTTTTGTCAACTTTAACCTTGCCCATAACTTTTGATTGGTTGGAGCTATGACTTTCATATTTCACGTGACAAGAACTTTTTTTTGGGTACCATCATATTTGTCCTTTTGACCTTGACCTTGGAGTTTGACCCACTTATGAGACTTTAACCTTGGCCATCACTTCTGAGCAGTTGTTGCTTGGGGTTTCAAACTTCACATGTGAATTCTTTGTGACAAGGCCGTCCTTTGGATACCAATCACTTTGACCTTTTGACCTTGACCTAGGAGTTTTACCTACTTTTGAAAAACTTTAACCTTGGTCATAACTTTTGAACGGTTAGAGCTAGTGCTTTCATACAGTACCTGCATCGTTATTTTTTACAGGATACACGATACGATAGGATACACGCATGATACGATAGGATAAACGCACGATACGATAGGATACACGCACGATAGGACAGGATACACGCACGATAGGATAAACGCAAAACACGATAAACGCAAAACACGATAAACGCAAAATACGATAAACGCAAAACACGATAGACCTGATAAACGATCTTCACGATAGGATAAACGCAAAACCTGATAGGATTGTTTCAAAATGCGAAACGTTTTTTGACAAGACGAAAAGTTTTCTTTTTGATATACTATAGTATGATAATTTTAATTACTTACAAAGCAGCAAATCGAAATGATAAAATTTGAAGTAATTATGCTTTGTAAAAGATATGGTGTTTTTGTCAATAAAATTGATCGTCATCAAATTCAAACTGTAATTATTTTAAGAATAATTCCACTCTATGATGGAAATTAGGCGATTTTTTTGTGTAATTATACAAATGTCGAAATTCCTTCGAATCATTAAATTTGAAATTTGAGTCCGTAGATAAGCGAAGTTTTACACCCAAGTGTAATAAATTCACGAAACGCTATAAATATATTCATTATTTTCACAAATAAAACCTTATAAAATTCATAACAAACATTGATTATTTTTACGGAAAAACATGTAAAAGAAAAAAATGAAATATTTGGATTCAATATCTTTTGCTAGAAGTCTGCGAAATATCCAAAATCACCTTTAATAGTTTGTATTTAATAATTTAAATCTTACAAAAAAAAATTACTAGACATGATTTGGGGGGGGGGGGATTGAAAAATTATTGTTGTAATTATTTTAAGGTTTATGCTTTCTCCTCCAAGTTTGTACGAATTTGATTTATATTTTATATAAATTAAAAAATTTTTTTTTACGTTTTAAAATTGCTGAAATTGCTAGTTGCATTGAGACAGACCGTGCACTGGACTGTGAATAATTAATCTCTCCTATATATAAATATATATGTCACATTCCAATTACATACATTGTATATGTATATATGAGGAAGGAGACTTGCGAAAAAAAAAATCGAATTTCATAAAATTAATAAACGTCACTAGATCTGTCATCATCTATTATCCGAAAAAATATCGCATTTCCATTCTTTTGTATTTATTTTGGTATTTTTATAGGCCTGTAAGATTAAGCTAGAAGGGAGCATGCAGTCGTATAAATAAAAAAAAATGTTACAGTGTACCAGCATGTGTAGTATACAGTAGTAATATAATGCTTATATAATATTGCCCATCGACAATAATAGTGTCTTTAGCCTTTTTTGTTTGCTTTTCAAAACATTTCTTTTTAGACCCCCCCAACTCCCCCCGGCCGCCCCAAAAGAAATGATATTGCTTTCTTAGCGTGCCTGTGTTATGAGCATTTACAATAACAGAACTTGTATCTACTATAGATACGTGTAAACTAAGCTTACAATGTATATGAATATATTTATTGGGTACTTAAACTTTGTATTGATTACGTACACTTGTTTACAACATATTAGAACACACACAAAAAAAATAAATAATAAATCAATTTCCATAATTTGACAAGTGGATTTTCGGATTGAATAATTGTCAATTATTGCTATTAGACTTTGTAATAATTGTTACAAAACCTATCTTATATAGGACGACATCGGCAAAATTAGACAAAACTTCGTAAATTATGAAAGTCTTAACCCCATTTGAGGCACAGTCAGCGGGGAAAGGGGGGTCCATACCCCCCCCCCCCCCCAAAAAAAATCCGATTCAAAAAGCCAAAAAATAAATAAATAAATAAATAAATAAATAAAAATAAAATAGATTATAAACATATATATTGAATTCTTCAATATAGTCACGTATTATATGCACTCGATAAACACAAATAAAATTAAATACAAGGTATTTACCAGTCTTGTGTATCACCGCAGAACCGGGTGATTTTTTTTTTCATGTATCTTTGAGATGCCTTTACATGTAACAACAACAGACAACACAGAAAACCCTAAGATCCAGAAGTACCGCAAGAGCATTTTTTGTTATTTGATCACACCAATCATGTTTATGACTGTAAACCTAGAAAAATTACATAAAAATATACAAATGAACTAAATCAACGGATTTTGGAGGACAAACCTCGCCTATATTTTATTTGATTCAATTATTCAATTTTTAATCTGTAACGGAAGTGTACATTTACCAATTTTCTTAGTATAAAATCTTTAATTGTTAATTAAGTGTTGTTCATAAAAATTATGAACAATATCCAGAAAATAAGTAGATGCATTTCATTGAAACCCAGTAGGGTTCAAGGTAAATATTTGACACCAGGTGAGAGCTAGAGTTCAGGTATGTCTACGTTGAATACACACGGGCCGGTCATGTAGGGGAAAGGGGGGGGGGGGTGTCTTGACTTGACAAGAAGACACTGTACTGATTAGGCAGGTAGGTGTCAGTTCTCTTGTCACGGTAGCGCTTCCACCTGTCACTAAGTTACGGTATATTACTTCATCTCCGCGCCGAAGTAGGTAAGATGTATAATAAAAATTTGTGTGGTTTTGTTTATTTATTTATTTATTTTTTACTTCTTCTAAATGCAGTAGTTAAATATGAATGGCAAACATCTATATTATAATATATACTTATCAGAGAAAAATAATTATACAAAGGTACAACAAAACTTGCGCGTATAGACAAAATTTATGTTTCCGTTATTGATAAAAAGGATAGCCTTAATAAAGATACTGATATTTGTTTATTCATAATTTATTTTTTGCACACATACCTAATGTTTTATGTTTCTATAATTATCAAAACAAAGTTAATAAAGGTCTCGCCTTTGTGACTCTGACTGTGTAAAGGGATTATAATATTTCTATCTTTGACAAAAATATTTCTTACATATCGACAAATTAAAAAAAAAAATGACTAAAATAGTAGATCGATTATTTCATGTACAAAAATAGAATTTGACTTTCGATTTGTGCTCTCTGCTTGGTGACGGTACTTGACGTTTATTAATTAATTAATTAATTTATTTATTTATTTATTTATTTATTTTCTTTAAAAAATATACCAGAGTTAGAGTATTAATTTCCCTTTTTGTTAAATAGTTAGATTAATCCTAAATAAATTAACAAAACGAAAGATGAACTCGAGATATCTCGGGTGTTTCTTTTCAAGGTAAAGATAAAAAGCGAGGGTTTCCGAATGAACACGATAAACGCAAAACACGATACACGATAGAACCTGATAAACGATCTTCACGATAAACGCAAAACCTGATAAACGAAAAACACGATAGAAAACGCAAAACCTGATAAACGGAAAACAAGATACGATAGGATACGATAGGATACACGCACGATACGACAGGATACACGCACGATACGATAGGATAAACGCACGATAGGACACGATAGAATTGTAAAGAATAACGATGCGGGTACTGTAGCTCACATTTGTAGTCCTTGTGACAAGACCTTCCTTTGGATACCAACCACTTTGACCTTTTGACCTTGACCTAGGAGTTTGACCTACTTGTGAAAAACTTTAACCTTTGCCATAACTTTTGAATGGTTGATGCTAGGGCTTTCATATTTCACATATGTAATCCTGGTGACATCACCCTCCTTTGAATACCAACCACTTTGACCCTATGACCTTGACATAGGAGTTTGACCTACTTTTGAAAAACTTTCTCCTAGCCATAATTTATGAATGATTGGTGCTAGGGCTTTCATACTTCACTTATGTAATCCTTGTGACAAGACCTTCCTTTGGATACCAACCACTTTGACCCTTTGACCTTGACATAGGAGTTTGACCTACTTTTTTAACCTTGGCCATAACTTTTGAATGGTTGGTGCTAGGGCTTTCATATTTCACATATGTAATTCTTGTGACAAGACCTTCCTTTTGATACCAACCACTTTGACCCTGACATAGGAGTTTGACCTCTTTCGAAAAACTTTAACCTTGCCATAACTTTTGAATGGTTGGTGTTAGGGCTTTCATACTTTACATATGTAATCCTTGTGACAAGAACTTCCTTTGGATTCTAACAACTTTGTCCTTGACCTTGATGTTTTACTTACTTTTAAAAAACTTTAACCTTCGTCATAACTTTTGAACAGTTGCAGCTAGGGCTTTCAAATTTAACATTTTTTTTTCTTTCGGCCCGGATTTTGACTTGCATTTGAGAAACTTTAACCTTCGCCATAAGCTGCCATACGGGGGCATCAGTGTTTCACAAACACATCTTGTTAAATTTTGAATTCGACAAGATTATTTTAAATGAAAGGAAAAAAATCTAAATAGAAATGATTCATTAATTTAACAGATTCCTTTACTATGTTTATGTATAATGTATTAATATACATCGTCAGTAGTATATATTTTATTAGGTCACTTGAGTCACTCAGGTGACCTATTGCT